TTTCAATCTTTTTAACTTCTCTTGTTTCCTTTAATCAAGCAGTTATTCAAATTTTTATTTGGCTTTTTCTTGATTGAGATGCTAGCCAAAACTACTTAACTTTTTAAAATTGACGAAGTTGTTTGAGCTATTGTTTGCAGAAAATTTCAACACAGTCTTTGAGTTCAGAAACAGTAAGATTCCTGTCATTGTGGGTCTGGTTGTGTTTTTTTTTAAGTGACAACAGAGAGGACCTGGTTTGATATGTTAGAATAATATGTCTGATAAATACCTATAAAATAGGTATTATAATAATACCTATTTGAAATGGTCCTTCAGAAAGCATCATTCAGACCTAAAGCAGACCATTAATAATGCTGATTCCCGTACTCAATTGAACCTACAGAATAAGTGCAAGAAAGTACTGGTGCTACAAGGGGGTTCTATCAGCTAATAACCTAAACCAGGTTGCACTCATCCCGAGTTCTTTGGGGACACTGCTCAGCATGCCAGAGACTCTGTATGTGGAGAACTTAATCAAACAAGAGAACTTAAGAAATTTTTTCCAGTTTCATGTATATTATCCATGTACTAATTTTCAGCCATATCTCACTAACAATTTACTTTTTGCCTCAATCTATGTACATTCTTGACTAGTGTTTTGAAACTACTGTATTAAACTGTCCAGAGAACTAGCAAATAAGAGAACCTTAATTATGCAGTTCTTGCTGTATGAAAAAGTGGTCTGTGCTGAAGAGAAGCCCAGGATTGAATTACTTGGTGTCAAGTTGCTTGGCAGGCTGGCAAATTTTCAGTTCTGACCATTTTTGCATTACTTGGAAAATCTAGTTGAGACGTTAGTGTGGTATTGACAAATAAAGTATATCACTCTTGCCCTGTTTGATAGAATATTTCAAATGTGGACAGAAGCCTGAGTTCCTCCTGTAGGAGAATAATAGATAAATAGAGTACATTACTTTTTCTATTTGCCAGTAATCCAGGTGCCAAACCAGGCAATTTCATTGCTGCCTTGTAGAGAAGATAGATGGTAAACCAAGGTGATGTGCCAGCCTAGAAAGACAGATGGGAGATAAACTGCCTTTCTACTGCCTCTGACTCCAAGCATTACTTGTCTTAGTTGTTCAAGCATGGTTGCTTCTTCCTATTTTCCAATGGGCTATCTGACCAAACCACAAGTTTCTAGCCTAATATTTTGTCTTGTAGGATGGAAGGAATTGACTAAAAAGTATAGTTGCAATTATGTGGGATTTTCTTGCAATTCTCATTGACTTTTAGTTTAAGGGTCAGGTGAAAGTGGAAAGTCCTGAACAATACTGTATTCTGGTGATCAGCAAGTTAGAGCAAACCTTGTTTTCAGAAGTGCATATTTGATATAAGATGCTGATGTTCAAAGGCATAAACTGTAATTAAAAAACTTCTGGAAAATTTCAGTTTTGGAGCACTTCAGTTAGAACTTTTGTTACAGGTAGAAAGATCTTTAGAATTACATTGCCACAGATGAAATAATTTTCAACTGATGTAAATTTGGCTTCAGTGTAAGAGTACTCCTCTGCACTGCAAAACAGCTAAGGATCTCATCTATTGTCTCTAAAAGTTAATTGCAGCATCTTTTACTGCTGTCACTAGAAGTGAGATAGCATGTATTGCATATTGGTGATCACAGATTCTGGGATGAACTAATTGTTGGAGGCTCTGGATCAGATCATCAGATGTTTCTAAAGTTACATGTTGGTACACATGTTACCTCACCAGTTGTAAATGTATGATTATTACCTCTTCCTGAAGAAAAGCGACAGTAAGCTCTATAGACTTCTCTGGCTAAGCCAAATTTCTAGATACTTAATTTAGCTTTAAGAGAACTTCAAAGACTTGTGGAAGAAAGCTAACTGATATGAAAGGTTGACAAAATATAGCAACACAATTACCTTCTGCAAGTTTTCTAGGGAA